TGCTGGAACGGGAGTAGTCCCAGGATGGGTGACCCACTGGGAAGTTCCAAAAAACAATCCTACAAGTGGTATCGGAGCGAGGAAGCAGGCTCGAATCCCCCGGTGTCGCTGGGGGGGGAGATTGTTGGTCTTATGGGGGACCATTGATCACCCTTAGGGATTCGCTACTGTGCTAGTCACGGTATCGGGTACTGACAGCCCAACCTGACAAGGTACACGAGTCGTGTATCTTGCGAAGCCCCTCTTGTCCATCCACCGCTCAGTAGTGGGGCTCCGCACTGCCGTAGTGAACTATAGGGGGTGCCCTATAGGAATCTACCTTGGCTTGGGCTACAGAGAGATGTGGTTAAATACAAAGTGTCCACCTTCCTATCACCAATTGGTTTTAGGAAGCATTTGGCACCTTTTAACTTCAGAAATCTGTAGTTAAGCATGCTGGAACGGGAGTAGTCCCAGGATGGGTGACCCACTTGGAAGTTCCAGAAAACGATCCTACAGCCACAATCATTACACGTTTATTTACTTTGTATTTTGAATGCATGTGAATGTATGTTTAACGCTAGTAAATTGACACATGCGCGACATGTGTTGTAGGTGAGATCGTAAAATTTAAAATCCCTCGAAATACTAAGTCTGTATTGCCTTCCGGCGCCCGGCACCTTTCTGGCTAATGTGCACTGTCACGTACTCATCCCTAGCATAGCGTTGTACGGTGTATGTTATGCTGGTCACGGGCATCACTAAAGTGGACATTTTCAGACGTTGGGTTAGACTTAACTGAGTCTCAGTCAAATGGATGGATGACTCAGAGGCGGTTTTTGTTGGGGCCACTAAACTGACAAGTTGAATTACTTTAATCACTCATCCAGCCAGAAGTTGGGTCTCTATGACTTAATTGGGCTTTGCCCTAACTAAAGTAGTTGTGTATGTGGTACGTGCCAAAGCCAATCACTTGTACGATGAAACGGTGTTCTGGCCCGTTAGTATTATTGTCGTTCACCCAACACAAGACCAAGAACTGTGAGCGCGGCTTGACAGTTGGAATTATGTTCCTACCTAAATAGTTAAATTCTAGGTACGAACCTCAGGTCAACTAGAATTTAATAATATATGGATCTTAGCCCATTAAGAGAATCTCTAGGAGAATCTTCGAATCAACATTGAGGGTTGTTGGTTTGCTAAAATAGTGGGAAATAATTAATTAAAGGCCTAATTAATTATTCCACATGATAGATAACTTAGTTTGCAATTTCATTCTGTAGATGGCATCGAACCACACGAATAGTCATTCCATCAACCTGCGCTATATCCTTGAGAGCCCAAAACTCTTAGGGGAAAACTTTATTGACTGGGAGTTAAATCTTCGAATCATTCTTGAACTGGAGAGGAAGCTCTATATCCTTGATAAAGAGCCTCCAAATGCACTCGCGGCGAACGCACGCGCTGTCGAACTCGCTTCTTACCAGAAGTACGAGGACGACAAGCGTGACGTGAAGTGCATCTTCCTAGAAAGCATGATCCCGGAGCCCCAAAGGCTCCACAAGGACATGGAAGCGCGCCCCATGATGCAGCGCTTGAAAGACCTTTACCAAGGTCACGCTAGGCATGAACGCTTCAAGATCTCTAAGACTCTGTTTTCTAGCAAGCTGGCATCGGGATCTCCAGTAGGCCCATTCGTTCTCAAGCTAATAGGCATGATTGAAATGCTTGAAAAACTCGAGGCCCCGTTGCACCCATTTCTAGTAATTGATCTCATTTTGGGAGCACTGCCAGTAGAGTATGTAGGGGTGGCAAGTACCGAACCGATACCGAAAATTCCCGAATAAAACCGAGAATACCAAACCAAAAAATACCGAACCGAAAAAGTACCGAGAAGGAACCAAACCATACCGAACTGAATGGTTGGTACGGTATTTTGGAACGGTACGAGGTGATATCCCATACCAAAAATCCCGAACCGAACATATATACTAAAATATTATAAAAAATAATACCTCGGAGTAATATTTTTATATTCCTTCACTAAATAATAAGTTTTTTTAAAAAATTTGGTTCAAGTTCTATTATATGTGTAAATTATAGTTTTATTTGAGTTTTAGTTTTTGTGTATGAACATGAAGGTATTCACAAAGATTTGAAATACTCTTTTATTGTCATTCATTTTTATAGTTTGTGAAATATAAACTAAGTTTTGATACACATCTCTTGAATTTAAATATTCATTTTTGTTAATTTTTCATGTTTTTTATTTAAAATTTTAAAATCACTTTTTAGTTTTCAAAAATAAAGGGGCATTGTTAAATTTTAAAAGTAGGTGTGTATATTCATCCCGATTTGTACCGAAATCGATACCGAACCATCCCGAACCATACCAAATCGATATTTCGGGATCAGGATCGGTACAGAGTAAAATCTCATACCAAACCGAAATATTTGGTACAGTACCGGTACGAGCTAAATACCGTACCATACCATGCTCACCCCTAAGAGTATGGTCAAACTGTCGTGAATTTTTATATGAACAAACTCGACATGACCTTAGCTGAGCTATTGAAATTTCTTACCACCGCTGAGGAGAGTCTTTGTAACGCCCCGAAACATACCCTAGAATTATTATTAAATAATTATTCGATTAAACAAATTTGTTTTGATTATTATTGGGCTTTGGGCCGATATGAAATATTTTTTTTAATATCCAATATCAAAATCTGGATAAGTCTAATCGAGATAAATCCAATATGTGGACTATTTGTGTGGTCTTGATTGGGAACCTGAGTACAGACCCAAATCAAGAATAAATAAATTAATTATGATATGAACTTTGTAATGATTTATTGAAATAAATCATGAGAATAATTGATATGAATTAAATGAGAGAACCTTTTATGAGAAAGGTCAATTAAACCAATTTTGACTCTGTTAAAGTCAAACACCCAAAAATATGATGTCGGAAAA